TCTTGGGTCACTGTAGTTGTATTGGGTACTTAATAACTGTTGCTTGAAAGCTCCACGTAACTTAGAATCAGAAGCAAATTTCCTCTTTGGAGAATTAATAATTTTCAGTGGAAGAAAAGACCAAGAAGAAATATGCAAGCTTTCTTCCAGTTGCTGCTAGAATCTTTCTAGAGGTTTCAAATTACTTTGAGTTATTTCATATGGTTAAAGATAGTCATGGAAACGCCCTCCTTCTTTAAAAAAATTTATTTATTTATTTATTGAAGACATGGAAACTTTCCATCTTCTGAAAGTTTCGAAGCTGCCTCGCATCTTTTTTTTTTTTTTTTTTTTTTTTTTATTATTCATATGTGCATACAAGGCTTTGGTTCATTTCTCCCCCTGCCCCACCCCTCCTTACCACCCACTCCACCCTCCCGCTCCCCTCAATACCGCAGAAACTATTTTGCCCTTATCTCTAATTTTGTTGTAGAGAGAGTATAAGCAATAATAGGAAGGAACAAGGGTTTGCTGGTTGAGATAAGGATAGCTATACAGGGCATTGACTCACATTGATTTCCTGTGCATGGGTGTTACTTCTAGGTTAATTCTTTTTATCTAACCTTTTCTCTAGTTCTGGTCCCTTTTCCTATTGGCTCAGTTGCTTAAGGTATCTGCTTTAGTTTCTCTGCATTAAGGGCAAAATGCTAGTAGTTTTTTAGGTGTCTTACTATCCTCACCCCTCCTTGTGTGCTCTCGCTTTTATCATGTGCTCATAGTCCAATCCCCTTGTTGTTTTGCCCTTGATCTAATGTCCACATATGAGGGAGAACATACGATTTTTGGTCTTTTGGCCAGGCTAACCTCACTCAGAATGATGTTCTCCAATTCCATCCATTTACCAGCGAATGATAACATTTCGTTCTTCTTCATGGCTGCATAAAATTCATTGTGTATAGATACACATTTTCTTAATCCATTTCAGTGTGGGGCATCTTGGCTGTTTCCATAACTTGGCTATTGTGAATAGTGCCGCAATAAACATGGATGTGCAGGTGCTCTGGAGTAACAGTCTTTTTGGGTATATCCCAAGAGTGGTATTGCTGGATCAATGGTAGATCGATGTCCAGCTTTTTAAGTAGCCTCCAAATTTTTTTCCAGAGTGGTTGTACTAGTCTACATTCCCACCAACAGTGTAAGAGGGTTCCTTTTTCCCGCATCCTCGCCAACACCTGTTGTGGTGGTGTTGCTGATGATGGCTATTCTAACAGGGGTGGGTGGAATCTTAGTGTGGTTTTAATTTGCATTCCTTTATTGCTAGAGATGGTGAGCATTTTTTCATGTGTTTTTGGCCATTTGAATTTCTTCTTTTGAGAAAGTTCTGTTTAGTTCACTGCCCATTTCTTTATTGGTTCATTAGTTTTGGAGAATTTAGTTTTTTAAGTTCCCTGTATATTCTGGTTATCAGTCCTTTGTCTGATGTATAGTTGGCAAATATTTTTCCCACTCTGTGGGTGTTCTCTTCAGTTTAGAGACCATTTCTTTTGATGAACAGAAGCTTTTTAGTTTTATGAGGTCCATTTATCTATGCTATCTCTTTAGTTTGCTGTGCTGCTGGGGTTTCATTGAGAAAGTTCTTACCTATACCTACTAACTCCAGAGTATTTCCTACTCTTTCTGTATCAATTAAGAGTTTGGGGTCTGATATTAAGATCCTTGATCCATTTTGAGTTAATCTTGGTATAGGGTGATATACATGGATCTAGTTTTCAGTTTTTTGCAGACTGCTAACCAGTTTTCCCAGCAGTTTTTGTTGAAGAGGCTGCTATTTCTCCATCGTATATTTTTAGCTCCTTTGTCAAAGATAAGTTGCTTATAGTTTGTGGCTTCATATCTGGATCCTCTATCTGTTCCACTGGTCTTCATGTCTGTTTTTGTGCCAGTACCCATGCTGTTTTTATTATTATTGCTTTGTAATATAGTTTGAAGTCAGGTATTGTGATACCTCCTGCATTGTTCTTTTGACTGAGTATTGCCTTGGCTATTCGTGGCCTCTTGTGTTCCATATAAATTTAACAGTAGATTTTTCAATCTCTTTGATGAATGTCATTGGAATTTTGATGGGAATTGCATTAAACATGTAGATTACTTTTGGAGTATGACATTTTTAACTATGTTGATTCTACCAATCCATGAGCATGGGAGATCTCTCCACTTTCTATAGTCTTCCTCAATCTCTTTCTTCAGAAGTGTATAGTTTTCCTTGTAGAGGTCTTTCACATCTTTTGTTAGGTTTAACACCGTAGGTATTTGATTTTTTTGAGGCTATTGTAATGGAATTGTTTTCATAATTCTTTTTCCTGTTTGCTCATTGTTAGTGTATAGAAATGCTAATGATTTTTCTATGTTGATTTTATATCCTGCTACTTGCTATAGCTATTGATGATGTCTAGAAGCTTCTGAGTAGAGTTTTTTTGGGTCTTTAAGGTATAGGATCATGTCGTCTGCAAATAGGGATATTTTGACAGTTTTTTACCTATTTGTATTCCTTTTATTCCTTCTTCTTGCCTAATTGCTCTGGCTAGGAATTCAGTACTATGTTGAATAGAAGTGGAGATAGTGGGATCCTTGTCTGGTTCCTGAATTTTAGAGGGAACTGGTTTTAATTTTTCTCACGGTTAAGTTGATATGACTGGCTGTTAGGTTGTCATATATACTGCGTCGCATCTTTAAAACAGAAAGGTTTGCATCAGGGGACAGTCTATGGCAGGTTGTTTCCACTTGTACAGGTGCTTTAAAGTTATTTGCTAGTTAAAATATTTTAAAAAATAGTTAATCGTCTTCATGGGTTTGAAATTAGTATAAGAAGGCATTTAGTGAAAAAAATCTCAGTTCCTCTGCGTTCAACTGCTTCCAATTATCCCTTATGCTATAATCGCCATTTTCTTGTTTCTGGTTTATCATCCTAGAATTTCTTAATCCAAATGTAATCAGAAGGTGATAACAATACTATGCACACTGGTTTAAACTGTACTTTTTCATGTTCATAAGTGTATCTTGATGTCTTGGATTTCTTGCTTTTCACATAGAATATATAAATGATTTTTTTTCCTGGTCCTGTTTTATTTATGACTACTTTATGTTACAACTACTGCGTCAATTTTAGGTAATAATCTGATGAATTTTGATAGTTACATACCTGTGAAGGCACATTCACAGTTAAAAGTACAAAATGCTTCCCTATTTTATTGCTTCATAGTATTTTATTGTATGGATATACCACAATTTTTTAAGCTAGTCTTTTGTTGATGGATTCTTGGTACTGGATACAAACCAGTGCCACAGTTTAGGTCATTTTATGCAGCAATTTCATATTTAGGCAGATAATTTAAGGATAGGTTCCAAATGGAGGTAGCTGAGCAGTGGGAAAATAGATTCACAATTTGGTAGATGTTCCATTTACCTTCTTAGGGACCTCTGTAGAGGAAAAGCAGTTTCCCTTTTAAAATTCTTGGCTGGGATCCTTGAAAGAATGACAGATTCAAGGCAGGTAAACAATTTATTAACGTGTATTTCACATATACATGGGAGAACATTCAGGGAAAGAAGAACTCGCTACAGTGGCTTGGACTTAAGCTTGTATAGCATCTTAAAAGTTTGTTTAGTAGGTTCTCCTAATGTGCCCAATGTCCAGGTGGTAAAAGATTCTAAAGTTAGCTGCCTTGGTAGTAACATCACACCTGTAATCAAGCTCTTTAGAGCTGAGGCGGAGGATTTTCAAAGTTCTGTGTCATAGCTAGAGCTTTATCTAAAAAAAAAAAAAGTTTGAAAGTTGTTTGGGGAAGACCTTTTGTCCTTTCTTCTAGAGGAGGAGGGACCTTTGTGAATTTATATTCTGCTTTTTAGGTAAATAGTGGGAGGGCAAAGAGCTTTTTTGTATAATGCTGTTTTTCAGTGCTTTAGCTCAAATGTTTATATTGAGTGGCAATTTTCAGGGATGGCATATTCGTTCCAGCCTCAGTGCCATCTAGCACCACTATATGAACTGCCTTTTCACTATAGTTTAGCTAACAAAGTCATTATAAAACTTGGATTTTTACAGTAGAAAATGATATTTCAAGTATAATTTTAACTTGTCGTTTTCTTTTTTTGACGGCATACTGGGATTTTGAACTCAGGTGCTCTCACCATCTGAGCCATGCCCCTGGCCCTTTTTTGCCTTAGTCATTTTTTAGGTAAGGTCTCATGTTTTTTTGCCTTGGGTTCTGGCCTCAGACGAGATCTTCCCTACTATAATGTCCATTTAGCTGGAATTACAAACTTATGACTACCATGCCTTAGCTTTATTGAGTGGGTCTCCTCACTACATTTTACTGGGGCTGGCCTCAAACTACAGTCCTTCTTGCCTCTGCTTTCTGAGTAGCTGGAATTACAGGCATGAGCCACTACATTCAGCCCTTGTAGTTTTCTTAAGACTGAAATTGACTATTATTTTTTGAATATTTTTTTTAATGTTGAAGGATGGGCCATTTATAGTATCTACTTTTCTGTAAAGTATCTGTTCATATTTTTTGTTCATTTTTCTATTGGACTTAGGTTTATCTTGTGTTAGTTTCTACAAACACTCTATGTATAAGGGAAATTATTACTCTGCAGATAGCATTTTCACTAAAAATTGTTATTTGTCTTTATCATTGCAAGAACTTCAAGGGTTTTCTTAGGTTTTTTTGTACTCAGAATGTTTTCTTAAAATTACTTCACTTGAGTTCTTTGTTTTTCTTCCTCCTTTGTATTATTCCTTCCTCTTTTTTCCTGTCTTTCCTCCAACCTAATTTCTTTTCTTTCTTCTTTCATTTTTGTAGAATTAAACCCAGGGCATGCTACGCAAGCACTCTACCACTTGACCCATTCCCCTCACTCCCCTTTTTGTTTATATTTTGGTTTTTGAGATAGAGTCTTGCTAACTTTGTCTAGACTTGTCTTAAACTCATGATCCTCCTGCCTCTGCCTTGTGAGTAGCTGGGATTACATACCTGGCCTGCCTAACCTAATTTCTTAAAAAAAGGATTTGAGACAGTTTGAAGTTTATTTATTGTTGAATTTGTTAATTCAATGGGTGAATGTTGTTAAATGATTTTAATATACGTGATCCTGATTCATCTGTTTTGAAGGCTATGTTTTTGGTATACTGTGCACTGGAGAAAGAACCTGTACCAATGTCCTTGCCTCCAGCTTTGGTGCCACCTTCTAAGAGAAAAACGGTCAGTATATCAAGCTCTATGCAGTTAGTCCCTTCTTCAACATCAGCCAAGGAATCTTTCCACTCCTTACCACCTGCAGGCATTTTACCTACCAAAGCACCATTAAGAGAGGTATAGATTTATCAGGATTAAAGGATTATTTTTTAGCAAAGTGCATGACATTTGAAAACTTAATAAAGATAGGAGGAGCAATCAAAGGGATCAAAGATATATCGCTCCCTCTGATTGGACTAACATACATTCATTTGCATTGCCTTAGGTCAAATGGATGTTGTATTCACTTTGCCATGATCTACCTGGAATTAAAATTAGAGATGGAAGATGCTACATGCTAACATTGCATGCTTGCCCTGGCATAGTTAATACTTGTTTTTGTATAATCTTTAGCTAATTCTCCATTCTTTGAGATAAAATTATCCAATTCTGGTTGATCCATGGCCTTTTTTTCCTCTGATCTGCTTCTTGTCGGCAAAATAATGATAGTGTGTTCAAATTGTCCAGTTTGGCTGTAGCTAAGAATACTGGATAAAATGATAGAAAATGAAAATTAAGAATTATCTGAATATTTTGTTTGTACATACTTTCCCAGTTACCTGTATTAATGTAGGAATTTATAGACCTGTTTGAATTACTCATTATTCAAAGACAAAAAGTAAAATTGGCATTGATCAACATAGTCCCACCTAACCTGTATTTTTGTTATTTTCTCTTTACCACAATATTTTGGTTGCAGTATGAGCAGGTGATACACTGTCATTGTAGTTTTTGTAGTAGACCTGTTCAGAATTTGTGGTAGATACTTCAAAAGTAAAGGAGTGACACTTCAAAGTTGGTTTCATTTTGGCAGAAATACTGTTTTTTTTCCCCTCTCTAGTGGGTTGTGTCCCCTGCAGAAAAAGCTAAGTATGATGAAATCTTCCTGAAAACAGATAAAGATATGGATGGATTTGTGTCTGGAATGGAGGTCCGTGAAATTTTCCTGAAAACAGGCTTACCTTCTACCTTACTAGCCCACATTTGGTAAGACTATTTAAATTGATTAAAAAAAAAAACCACAGTTTTATATCAACTCTTTAAGTCATTTTTATGACTGGAGTATTTTAGAATTCTTTATAGAGAAATTGAAATCTGAAGAGTTCTTTTGGGTAATAGATAAAAAAACTTGAGAGTAGGTACATGAAGTTTTAGAAGACTGACGGTATCAATCATTATTAGAATGTTAAAATGCAGTATCTGTTTATATCAATTTAACTTAACATTTTAAGGGAGACTACAAATATCAAAAATTTAAACAATATAAGAAGGAACAGTATCTTTAAGGCATACTTACATAATTCTGCAGAGGATATGTATACTTTTATACCTTTACATAACACACTTAAAAAAGACAACCCTTAGTAATGTTAATGAATTTTGCATTAAATGTGGTAATGTGTATGAAATGCTTTGTAGTGTCCCTACTACCAATCTGGCTAACTAAACCAGAGGTTGTCTTGAGATTTTCAGAGGCAGCAAAAATTAGAAGTGAATCACAGCCAGGCGTCAGTGGCTTATGCCTGTAATTCTAGCTACTCAGGAGGATCATGGTTTAGGCAAATAGTTTGAGATACCCTATCTCAAAAAAAAAAAAAAAAAATCACAAAAAAGGGCTGGTTGAGTGGCTCAAGTGGTAAGAGCACCTGCCTAGCAAGCATGAGGCCCTGAGTTGAAATCCCAGTGCCACCAAAAGTTGGAAAAGAGAAACATAGAAGGGAACAGAGAATCGTAGGTCTGCCTTAAAAGGGATAAGTTCTCAAGACTGAGAAAGATTAAACATGCACAACTGTTAATGACTACTACTTTTGAGTGCCTAGGTTAGGCACTCAGTGGCAGCTGTCATAGATAGGCTTGGCATTATGCCCAGAACTTTTAATGTACCTTGTCTTTAATTCTCATAGTGACATCACAAGATGAGTATTATCTCCATTTAATAGAAGAGTTAACTAAGGTTTGGAGGGATTTAAAAGTTTGGCCCAGGTCATAAGAAGAAATAAGGAGAAAAGATGAAATTCAAGGTTTATTTGAGATCATGTCTTGTAGACTTTTTTTATCAGGTCACACTGGCTTTCAAAGAATTAAACAGACCAGGACTTGAGAAAGCTGAGCTTTAAAAAAAGGAAAGAAAGAAAAAGGATGAAACATTTGTTGTTTCCCCTCAAGTGATTTTGTAAAACTTTCCAGATTGCTGCCTTCTCCTTACATGTGATTTCCATTTGCAGCTGTTCTTTCTGCTTTGGCTTGGTGATCCTTGTAACCTCCTACTCCAAGAGTTTCAGGAAATAAGCTGACATGGAAATTTTTACTTGTTTTAGAATCATGGTGGTGCAACCAATGAACTAAATACATTGAGACTTAGAGTTCATTTTTAATATCTTTTAGTGTTAAAAACTTTGGGATAGGGAGTGTTGGAATTCTTTGGCCCACCACAACTTTTACTGTGTAGTGGTTCTGGAAATTGATAAGAAAGCACAAAGTAAAGCAGATTCAAAGCCTCTGCTCAGTACTAGAGCAGAGTGAATATTCTCGTTTTTGCTATCTTATTGTTTTACTCTTTAGCATTTAGCATTTGAGTTCTGGACAAGCTGCAAGTTAGTGTGACTGTTTTTTAATTAAATTGATTATTTAAAAATGATACATAGTCATTTTTTTTTCTCCTGGATTTTTAGGATAGTAGCTGTAGCATTTATAAACTATTCATTTTATTTATTTGTACAGGGCATTATGTGACACAAAGGACTGTGGGAAGCTTTCAAAGGATCGGTTTGCCTTGGCTTTTCACTTAATCAATCAAAAGTTAGTAAAGGGCATTGATCCTCCTCATGTTCTTACTGCTGAGATGATTCCACCGTCAGACAGGACTAATTTACAAAAGGTAAGACAACTTAAAAGAAAAACTGAATGCATTAATGGAGAGGAACATATGCTATGTCAAATCAGAGTCAATTTGGATGGAATAGTGAACAAAATACATCTGGCTAGGAGCAGGTCAGTACACTGGTGGTTTAGTTTGTGTCTATAAATATGCTCATGTGTCTTATAACTGGTCTGAAGCTTGTTTACCTCTTATTACACACATGACAACTATGTTTTCCAATCTTAAATTGGAAAAATATGGCCTTATTTTTGCCTTCATAGATTTGTGAATTAATTTTTATGAATAGAGTAAAAAGTTAAATAAAAGCTGCAAAAATTAAATTGTTTCATTTCATGATTTACTTTTACAGAAAACAATGTAAATTTTAAAACAAAATCTAGTTGATGATGATTGCTAGGGGTCAATTTTATATTTTAAAAAAACCCTTAAGAAAAATAGTATGTTGAGGACACATCTCTGTGTGGGTTTTTTTTGCCATAGATGACCCTTTGTTCCTGAGTATATGGCTTAATTCATATCTGAACAGCTAAAAGCAAGTTGTAGTTTCTTTGGGTTTCTGCCCAACAGCAGGAATTTTCAAAATTCCTTCATTTTAGCCATGTCATGTCTTGATTTTTTTCTCTCCTTATCTAGAAACCCTTCCTAATATATTGCATTTATGATATTTTGGTCTTTAAAAGGACTTGCTTACTATAGTGTCTGTTCACCTTTAAAACTAAATTCTTTAACCAGGTATGGTGGTGCTCACTTAAAGTCCCAGCTAATGGGGAGTCTCAGGTGGGAGGAATCACTTGACCCTATGAATTCAAGGCCAGCCTGGTTAACACAATGAGACCCCATCTTAACACAAAACAAAACAAAAACCCCAGATTTTTGTATCTTTAAATCTCATATGGCCTGTAAAGTACATGCTTGGTGATTCTTCAGGGTTCTAGCTAACAGTAGTTGTCAAATGTGTGCTGTGTATGAGGAGAGCTCTCTTTCAGATATCAATTAGGATGTTTTGGTTTTTGCATCAATTTTGTAACATAGGTTAAAGATTCCACTTTAATAAATCTTCTAAAAGTCAAAATTGAATTTTTTTCTTAAGTAAACTAAAATACAATTAACTACCACCAGATATAGACAGTTACTTATGAGAATTTTTTTCCTTTTTTGGGAGCCGGGGCAGTACTGAGGGTTGAACTCAAGGCCTTATGCTTGCTAGGCAGGTAGTTTACTGCTTGAACCACACTTTGGTTATTTTTGTGATAGGGTCTTCCCTTATGCTCAGGCCAGCCTGGACTGCAATCATAGTTATGCTTCCCGCTGTAACTGGAATGTATCACTATGCCCAGCTGGTATTGGTTGAAATGGAGTCTTGCAAACTTTCGGCCTGGGCTGGCCTCGAATCACATTCCTCCTGATCTCTGTTTCCCAATTTGCTAGGATTACAGACCTGAGCCACTGTGCCTGGTCTTTGTCCTTATGTCTAATAAAATAAACATTTGATTATCTGCTTTCATGAATTTTTGGGTGGGGCACTTTATGAATTTTTTAAGATTCTTTGTGATATATGACATGGGTTCCTTAAGTTACGGAGTGGGCTGGAATTGATACCACTCAAAAAGATAAAGGTTCCTGAATTTGTATTTATGCTTTCTGCTATATAACTATATCTGTTGCTTTATCCTTTCACCTATGTAGATTTTTTTCTTGCATTCTTCATTTTATGATCTACTGAGGCTCCCACCAACACAAAATTACAGATACGACAAATTTCTGAAACAAATTATATTTGTTCATTGAAGTCTCTTTAATGTTAGTGAACACTTGAAGTTGCATCTGGTATATAGTTTTTAATTTAATAGGTTTGTCTAAGTCCACTCGCTAGAGCATAGACACCTTTGTGTCAGGTATCGGTATTATTTGTTGAAATGGGATTTTATCACTGTTGTCTTACCTAATAACCAAGAATTTTAACCTTAAAAATTAAAATTTGCATTTATCTTTCAAATAATCTCTTTTCTCTTTATAATCTGATTTTTAAAAAATACTGCATTTTTTTGCAGCTTTGACTAATCCTTTTTTGAATGTTGCTTTTCTTTCTGTGTTTTTTCTAGTTTGGACTATTTTTTCCATTCTGCAGCACTCTGCTTTTCGTCTTTCTTGTACTGTCAGTTTCTTAACTCTACTCTCTATCAAGGTTAGAGCTTTATTTTATGCCTTTTTTAGCACTGTGGTTTTCAGTTTACAAAATACATTTTAAAATTAGAGGTTTTTTATTCAGCAAAGTTAATAAGAGAAAAATACCTAAGCAGCATGCTTTTGTTACATGTCACTTGGTCCTTGTGTGCATTTTAGCTTGCCTTCCCTAGGCTCTGTGATCCACTTAAAATCATCCAAGTGGAATTTTTGCAAAACGCACAAAACAGTGTGAAAGAAAATATTTTGAAAGAAGGGAACATGCTACATTTTTCCTTATATACCCTTCATATGCTATATTTATAATATTAGCTGAACTTTTCTCACGCTTCCTGGTTATATGCCATTTTAGTCATGTTGGGTATTACCTTCTAACTTGTTTGAGGTTAAACTGATTTTTCTCATTTTATCTTCTTTTTTGATGGTATTTTAATGGGAAAATGTGAGTCACAAAGAGTGACAGAGGAGGTGAGGAAGTCATGTGTTTCTTTGTACACTTGCACCTCTGATAGCAAATTTCTCAGTACCATTGATAGAATGTGAGACCAAGTGCTGATATTTTTCTACTGTCTGTCTGACTAAGTTTAATTCGTAGGTTAAGTTTAAGCAGAGTTAAAACCCTAGTGAATAACTGTCTCATTAAGAAATCCGATTTAAAACTTTTAATTTAACATAGCACTAAAATAAGGGTCTGTGTATTGATGGAGTAAAATTAAAACAGTTGAGGTATATTTGATAAAAATGTACATTCAGTACAGAATTGGAAGTATCATTAATTGAATCTTCATAGATGAATTTTGGTGTTGATAGTCAAAACAGCTCAGTGTTAAAAATGTAGTGTGGCATAAAAAACCACGGAAAGAGTTATTTGCCGAATTTTATTAATGCACTTGTTCAGCAAATTTACTTTTTAGAATAATGGTTTCATTTGCCTAAATGTTCTTGACATGCAAGTACAAAAACTACCTATTAGCTAGGTTTAATTTTGAGCAGTCATTTAATCTGTTTTCTCAGCTCTAAAATGGGGTGAATAACATCTGCTCTACCTAACAACCCACTTTTTGGATTAGTTATGAGAATTGACTAATGGATTTGATAGTGCCTAGTGAATTTTAATGGTGATATAAATGTGAAGAGATGGGATGTTGTGAGCTTTTAAGTTTCTTCTGTTGTGCAAGTTGGTAGCATACGTTAAATTCACAACAGCATAAATATTTATACTACTGAGTTTTGTGTTCTACTTACAAGATCATCAAGGTATCTTAGGTTTCACATGTTTGGGCCTCAGTTTTAACATTTCTAAAAGTTAGTTATGTTTCTGTTATATCTCAATTTGGGTGCAAGTCAAGTGTTTAAAGGAACAGTTACCTTTTTACCCTCGCTCCAGCCAGTGATACAGGACAACAATGGTATTTTACTAAGGAGAATGATTTCATTTATTTTTTAATAAATGAAGGGCAAAGATTTATTTCCCTGTTTTACAAGTGAAGATCATGCATCTAGCCAAATAGCAGATCCCAGATTAAAACTATGTGGATTTTCTAACTAAAAGTACCATTCTTAGACCAAAATTGGTCTCAGAAAGAAAATAATATGTATAGGATGTTAAATAAAGTTTCATATATGGTAATACTGATATTTACTGTGGTACATTACTTTAAATAAACACTGATAGTATTTTTAAAAAGTTAATACTTGTTGAATTGAGTAAAATCATCCACTACTATAATTCTGAGAATCAATAAAAATTTGTGTACTTATTCTATACTAGATGATAATAAATCACCATCCATGTCCCTAACAAATTTACACTTCATTGGAGGAATTCATTTAAAAATTGGGTATCTGTTTCATTAGAGATTCTGGACAGGCTAGGATCAAATGACAAAGACAGTGGGATCTGAGGTGGGGGTATACATTATAGAATAACAGCTTTTAGAGAATTTAAAGAAATCGTCTTAGTATATAAGTATCCAGTATCCATATAAAATTATGCTAGATATGATTTTATTAAATGAATTAAAAGTGTTAGGAATGGAGTAAAATGTGCAATACCTTGTTTCCATGTATTGCTTTTAATATTTTTAGTGCTTAGCCTTGTGTTACATAATTTCATAGTAATAATGTACAATTGTGAATTTTTTGTTTTTAGAGCATCATAGGATCAAGTCCTGTTGCAGATTTTTCTGCTATTAAGGAACTAGATACCCTTAACAATGAAATAGTTGACCTGCAGAGGTATGTAAAGTATTGCTGACTTCATATATATATACACACACACACACACCTAATATAAAAGATATATATGTGTATTAAATGTGTGTTACATATGCACACACATCCTTCTGTTTCAAATGTGTATTTTAGTAAATATTCTTTTGTTTAGCTAAGTACCATACTTGTACTTAAATGGAATCTCAGTATACCTTATTTCATCAAATACAAGGCACATTTTGATGTGCTATTTTTTTTATGTACCACTGAAAAAAAGAAAAATCACCCAGTAAACACTCGCATGCCTTTAACTATAAGATGGTATTTGATTTCAGATAGTGAAATAAATTGTGTATCTTAGAATGATTCAGATAATAGTTTAGATATTTAAATAACAGATTAAGGAACCATTATTTAATTCATTTAGTGAAAGGACTGTGAAATGCAGGCACCATGCCAAGTGCTTTTATGACTGTTAGTTACTTGGTCCTCACAAAAACTCTGTGACCTGAGATAAGTGGTATTATTTCTTGTTTTTTGTAAAAAAAAAAAAAAAATTAATTCACTAATTTTTGAGTCAGGGTCTTGCCAAGTAGTTCATGCTGTCCTGGAACCCAGGCTGATCTCAAACTCTCAATCTTCCTGCCTCAGCCTCCTGAGTACTGGGATTAAAGGTATGAACCACCATACCCAATTTTTCCTATTTTATAGGTAAAGAAGTTAAAGTACTTAAATTATTTTGCCCAAATACAAACTTTTCATTTGTAGAGCCAATACTTATCCCAGGACTGTGATTCTAAGTTGAATCTTCTTTCTTATATATAGGTACTATATAGAACAAACTCAAATATAATTGTATTTGAATCTACATACAGTAGGTATTATTGATATTTCTTAAATCCCTTTGTTTTCTGGAAACTTTATAGTAATTCTCATTGTAAAAATGACTTCCTAAAATTACTTTTTAGAAGGTAAGACTGAGGTGGCAAAGTGGCTCAAGTGGTAGAGTGCCTGCCTAGCAAGCATGAGGTCGTGAGTTCAAACCCCAGTACCAAAAAAAAAAATCACACCGTCACTTCTACCTCTTGGGACTAGCGGCATGGCTTACACAGTAAAGCACCCGCTTTGCAAGTGTGAAGCCCTGAGTTCAAATCCCAGTACCACTAAAAAAAAAAAACCAAACAATTAGAAGGATCTGCAGGGCACTGGATTTAAATATTGATTTGTATTTATACCAATTTCTTTTAAACTTTGCAATTCTTAGAAGCAGACAATGGTTCATACTTTTATTTTATTGAAGCTGTTGCTATGTAATGGTATTAACACATCTATTAACATAGATAACAACTTACCTAATTTACATGGCAAGAATGGCATGTTCTTACCTCATCTTTGAGACTATATTGAGATTGCTGCAGAGAACTTAGTTTTAGAATTTTTTTCAATTGCAAGAAAGAATTCAACCTTAACTAACTTAAGTAAGTTCATTTGTTAACTTGTCACACTAAAAGTTTTTTGAGGTAGGGATGGCTTAAGGCATAGCTTGACACTGAGAGAGTTCTCTTGCTTTTAGCATTTGTTGTTTCAAGAAAAGGATTGATTCTATTCTCAGATAGATTTTCCCCTTATGTTGGCAAGAGGACTATAAAACATCTAGCGTCATATGCTTACATTTCAAGTTCAGTGGGCAGTTCTTTTCTGCCATTTCCTAAGAAAGTCCTGAAATTTAGTGTGATTTGAATGGCTAAGGACTATGCCTAACCTTGAACCAGTCAGTGGCAGGGATTTATAGTTATTGATTTATCACGAACACTGTCTTAGGAGTATGTTTGAGTAAAATTTGCCACCAAAACTAAATGGAGGAAGGGTTATCACCAAAGGAAAATTGGAAGCCATTGCTTGAAGGTCAGTGATTGACCTTAGTATCATCTATGTCTTTGAGCAATATAACTTGATATTCTATAAATTCAATCTGAGTACCTTTTCAGATGTCATTACTTAGTTTTGAACATACCTGCTTTATATTGAATTCAACCATCTTTTCCTTGGGTTGTGAGGAAAGTCTTCTTTGTCTACTTTACATGCTCACCCTCCTACTCTTTAAATCTTATTTGAGAGCCTATATTTACCACTGTCATAACATCATACTTATACTTGATTATAGTTGTCTGGGTATTTTTTTTATTTCCTATTAAACTGTATGCTTCTGGGCCATAGAGATCACTTGTTTGTTCACTGTTAAATCTATAATGTTTCGCCTATTACAGAAATATTACTAAAATCTGTCTTTTCTTTTCTACTGTTTTGTCTTTGTTTTAGCCTTTTCCTTTTATTTGGATCACTACTATAACCTCCTAATTGGCTCCCTGCTTTGAGCCTTTCCTTCCTTTCTTCAGATTATTCTACTTCCAACTGGTATATAAAATACAACTCAGATTCTTCAGTGATTCTCCATCCCCCAACTGTATCCAGTTTACTCTTCTGAGCATGGCATAAAGGACTCTTGCTTAATGGAGTTCTCTTGCCATCCTGGTCATTCCTCTGTCTTAGCTACCTCCCACAGTACAGTGACTCCTATGGCACTGTAAAGCATACTGAAAACAGACACTGTGTGTTTGCTCTTTCTCCTCTCAGTGATCAATACAGTGCTCTAACCTACCATTTCTGCCTCATCCCTTTTCTCTAGCTGTATGGTGGTTAGGCTTATTACCTCTCACCTCAACATGCCATCACCTTTATTCTTCTGTGTCTCTGATTGTACTGTTCTTCTTTGCCTGGAACATACCTTTTACTGTATAAACTTCTACTGATTCTTTGCCCAGCTTAAGTATCATCGTTCCTAAGCCTTCCCTGAAATCTGTGCTTTTAGAGGTTTCATTTCTTTCATTATATTGACACAGTCTGTTATAGCAATTTACATTTATTTATGCAATTTTATATTTCTTACAGGCAGGAGGTATATCTTATTTATTTTGATAAGTCCAGAAATTAATATACAAAGTGCCTGACACATAGAATCTCAGCATAGATTAATTAGATAAATGAGTCAACATATGCTACAAATATCAGAATATTTCCCAGACTTAATTCCTATAGTCTATGGCAGAATAGATCTGAATATAGATGGAGCATCCCTGTTTAACATGACACTCAAAAGGTTTCAGGTTTTGGACCGTTTTGGATTTCAGATTTTTGGATTAGAGATGTTCCTCTGGCAAAAGTCTATGCAAATATTCCAAAATCCAGAAAACTTCAAAATCTGAAACCTTTTTGGTTCTAAGCATTTTAGGTAATAAACTACCTGTAGTAGTTTATTTTGGAGACTATAAGAAAGGATTTGATAAATAAAAGATTTTTAAAATCCTTACAGGGTTGTTAAGGTTAGTGGGCTTGTTTTTCATATTTTATAGGCCTGTGATTTTTTTCTGATTTTTTAAATTGTGTAAAATGCACATAATATCAAATTTATCATCTTAACCATTTTAAGTGTATGCAGTTCACTGTATTAAATGCACATATAATGTTGTGCATCTATCACCACATACATCTTCAAAACTCTCTTCTTGTAGAACTGAAACTGTGCCCAATAAAAGTAACTCCCCATGCCATCCCCTACAACTACCATGCTACTTTCTGTCTCTGTGATTTTGACTGTGTACCTCATACAAATGGAATCATATACGCTTTCTTTTTGTGACTGACTTATTTTACTTAGCATAATGTCCTCCAGATTCATCATGATAGATCCTAAGTCTGCATTTCCTTCCTTTTTAAGGGTAAATGCTATTACATTGTATATGTATGCAACATTTTGCTTATCCATACATCTGTTGATGGAAACTTGTGTTACTTCTCTGTTTGAATTATTGTGAATAATGATGATATGGACATACCTCCTTGAGGCTCCACTTTCAGTTCTTTGGGGTACATACCCAGAAGAGGAATTGCTGAATCATGGAATTGCAGACTTATTTTTGTGTTTGGGATTTTCTTTGAGAATCTCTGGAAAGCTGTTAGTCCCTCCCTCTAGAAAAAAGAACATGTGTATCCCTGTATATTATTTTGCATTTGTCAGGAGTTCCTAGACCCTTAAAAACTATTCATGGCTCTGTTTTTAAGAATCCTTTCTCAGAAACTAAAATGCTTTAGGTAACTTGCCAGAGGAAAAGATGAAACATATACTGAGAGATTACTTCAGTCACTTGGCTAGTGTGGTCATGGCAAATTATGCTGAGGCAGGAGTTAATGTTTTGTTTTCTGCTAGCTTCTACTTCCTTCCTGTCTCTGTCCTTTTAGCAAGAACATCAGGAAGTGAAAGCCACATCCTGTCAGGCCTGTTCATTATCCTGGTCTTGGGCCAAAAAACAGGATTATATTATAATAGATGTTGGGTATGCTAAACCTGCTTTATATAAATTCTTCTGTTGAATTCTTGCAATATCTCTGAAGAGTAAGAGGTTTTATTTTGATTTTTTAGATGAAGAAATGTTGGGACAGTATTTCCATAAAGATTTCTCTGATATCTACCTCAGCTTAGAGAGCACTCAGTTTCCTTCTCTCAGCACTTAAAATGCTGAGGTATATTTCTTTGCTGTAGTAGACTCTGAAGTTTACGTGATGGCAAGGACTGTCTCTTATTTCTAGTGAGACAACATAGTGTAGAATTTCAGAGCATGGGCTTTTTAATCAGATTGCCAGATTATCTGACATGATATGGTCAAATTAACTTGACCATCTGTGCCTCAGTTTCTTCATCTTTAATACAAATAATGTCATATAAAATGCTTACCAGCATTCTTTTTTTTTTTTAATTATTTTATTATTCATATGTGCATACAAGGCTTGGGTCATTTCTCCCCCCTGCCCCCACCCGCTTACCAGCATTCTTAAAACATGGTAGTTACCATTGTTAATCATCATCATTCTCATTCTTAACACCCAGTTCATTCTTCAAGAACTGGTTTTTAAAAAGAATTTCAAGCCATGCACAGGCAGATCATGAGTTTGAGACCAGCCTAGGCTAC